CCTGCATTGCTGACACCGGAGATGTTCTGACTGATCCACTGCAAATTCTCAAGGCCTGAGCTTGTAATACATCCAACTTCTTAAGGTTTGATTCTGCTGCTGACATGTACACTACACATCCATAGTCAAAAACGGATCTCATGAGTGCCCAGTATATATTTTGTAGAGCTGCTCTGCTTGCTCCCCACTCTTGTCCTGACAGACAACGAAGTATATTGATGACCTTTTTACACTTGTTCTTAACTTTATCTAAATGAGTATTCCAGGTGAGCTTCTCATCAAACCAAACCCCAAGAAATTTAATTGTTTTGACTTGCTTAAGCGGTTGTTCATATAACTTCATGGAAATAGGCGTGACTTTATGCCGCCTTGAGAAACAGATCACCTGTGTTTTTGCAACAGATAACTTGAATCCCCATTTATTTGCCCATTTTTCCACAGCAGCTATTGCAGCTTGCATTTTCTTACTGACGTGCAACACATTGCGGCCTCTTACCCACAGAGCCCCGTCGTCTGCGTACAAAGATTTCCCTACGCTTTGTTCAACCTGAGAGAAGATGTCATTTATCATTATGTTGAATAGCAATGGGCTACACACACTACCTTGCGGAGTTCCATTTTCCACCTTATATACACTGGAGTATTCTGTGCCAACTCTTACTTGTATTTCCCTGTCAAATAGAAAGTTCATAACCCAATTATATGTTCTACCACCAATACCCAATGACTTCAACTTAATAAGTAACCCTTCTTTCCAGAGCATATCATATGCTTTTTCAACGTCAAAAAATACAGCTATCAGTATTTCTTTGTTGGTCTGTGCTTTCCTGATGTCTGATTCTAGGCACAGTACTGAATCCATTGTATTCCGACCTCTACGGAACCCACTCTGGTACGGGTACAGAAGAGCTTTACTCTCTAGGAAGTATGTTAAACGCTCTGTGACCATTCGTTCCATAATTCTGCACAAGTGTGAGGTTAATGCAATAGGTCTATAACTGGAAGGGTCTGACTGATCTTTTCCTGGTTTTGGAATGGGCACTATTATTGCTTGTTTCCAAGCTAAAGGAAGTTGGCCAACATCCCAAACTTTATTAAACAAACCCAACACCGTGTCTAGTGCACTATCTGTCATGTGTGCCAACATTCCATAACATACAGCGTCCTTCCCTGGAGTGGTCTGACGAGCACTCGTAATTGCTCTTCTTAGCTCAAACATATTAAACGGTAGATCTAACGGATCTCCTGACACCTCCCTTTTCTCTGTTATTTTGGGATTCTTCATTAAGATTTCCTCTCTACACTGCCTAGCCTCATCTGTGAGATTACACGAACTATGAACCCTTTCAAATGTTTGTGCAAAAAGTTCCGCCTTTTCTAAGTTATTGACAGCCATTTTGTTCCCAGTGTTCAACACTGGTATCTCATAATTTCTTCTAATCCCCCCCATTCTTCTAATCATGCCCCATACATCTGACAGCTGTACTTCCCTTCCAATAGTGCTACAGTACTGCCTCCAAAATGTTCGTTTTTGTGTTCTAATTGTCCTCCTTACTATTGCTTGGGCCCTTTTATACTGGATCAATGCATCCTGAGAATGATGTTTCTTGAGTTCTCTAAATGCTTTATTCCTGGCCTTTATGGCTTTACTACAGTTGTCATTCCACCAGGTATACACATTTCCCTGCATCTTTATTTCTAGTGTCATTTTGCCTTGTCACCTGCGCGTCTCCTGAAACCTTCTTTGCTGCCTCTGCGTAGCTTATTCCCTGAGTAGCCTTGACTCGCTGCACCTCTGCCGCTCTCTTACCAACTTCGCATCCGTGGTAAGCTGAGCTATGTTCTCCTCCACAATTACAACACTTCAGCTTTGTCCCCTCTGCACATTTGCCATACTCGTGGTTTCCACCGCATCTACCACACGTTTGCTTTCCCTTGCACACGGATGCTACGTGTCCGAACCTCTGACATTTAAAACATCTGAGAGGTGGGGGAACATAGGGCCTCACATCATAACACATATATCCAATAAAGATCTTTTCCGGGAGTCTTTCCTCATCAAATGTGATCAGTACAGAGAGACTGTCACTTTTAATCCCATTTCTGCTTGCTTTAAGACGTCTGACTTCACTCACTTTGGCATTTGTTACATTTCCTTTAACATCATCTGCTGTTACATTTACTGGAATCCCTGTAATAACTCCCCTGACCAATTTTCTGTCAGTCATCAGAGAACATTGTACTTTCTTGCCATTTATTTTATTCATTCTGACTGCTTTTCCTTGTTGTACTCCATCCTTACATATAATTAGTAATGATCCATTTCGCAATATTTTAGCACTCCTTACCTCCCCGATTTCTTTACTTATGGATTTAGTTAGCTGTATTGGATTCCAATCGCAGAATGAAGCCCCATCTTGCACAAGTTTTACTATTGCCTTGAAATCCTCTCTCCTCCTTTCAGTTACAGTTGCTCTCCCGTCACTATCACTCCCATCCGATCTTAGGCTCTTTTTACACTTATTTTTCCTACCTGCTATATTCCACTTTTCATAACTCCCGCCACCTTCGACCATCTCTCCTAACTCACTTCCTGAACCGTCACTTCCTTCTGCCATCTCTCGTCCACCAACCACAGCTCGTCCCTACACCAGTCTGTAATCAGAATAAGCAATAAACCACCACCAGAAACTAAATAAACATAAATCAACAACTGTGTTCTATTAAACCAGTTGTTCTCAAAGTAGGGTCCCCAACAAAAAGGGGAATCATTTATTTTCACTGTAATTCATTCCCTAAGTAACACAGGACACTTTCTGTAATAAAAACATCTAAAAAGCAAAAACCCTATCAGATGGGGGTCCCTGATGTGAACAAGTTTGAGTGCCGCTGTATTAAACAGCTGTTAATCATTGTCACAGAGCCCACACAGAAAAGCGTCTCATCTTTAAACCTGGACCCTATTTTCTGTTGCTTCAGCTCAGACAGTTACCCCAGGTGTTTGCACCATGGAAAGGATCCCTTTAAGGGACTCCAGGTGCACCCCCTTTGTTTTTAACAGGAAGCTAAAGTCTTGGTCAGAACCTGCTGAGAGGAGTTCAGCTGCTGCAGTGATGAGCGGTTGGTGATGATCCATGAACACTAAAGACCACAAGGCCTTCATGAAAAGTAGAACTGTAGAAACTCTGCTCTTTTTAACAGTGCTGGATGAAGTATTCAGATCCTTTACTGCAGTAAAAGTACTAATACCTCACTGTGAAGTAAAAGTACTGCATTGAAAATGTTACTAATGTAAAAGTATGTCTGGAAAAATCTTCCTAAAAATGACTTTATGATCAAAATTGTTGCCAATTTTCTGTCAATTGACGGATTGATTAATCTAATAATCCTGTCAGCTGGTCTAGTATAATTTGTTGGAGTTTAGTTTATAACATCATATTTTATAAACTCTTCATATTTTGTGTGTAAAAATCTGACTTTGTGAGTAACTGAAGCTGTTGGATAAATGTAGTGAAGTAAAAAGTTGAAGCAAGGATAACCGTGCGCTCGCTCTGCTGGACTCCACAGTAAATGGCTGTTTCTTTAGCAGGTGTAGGAGGTGGTGGTGTTCAGGAGTCTGACTGACTCGTTGGTCCAGTCCCTGAACACATCAGTCTTCTTAGTCAGTGACGAGGCGGCCAATTTATTGAAAGACTGTTATGCTGTGTTCCAGGCAACTCGGAACTTTCAGACCTCCAACCAGAAAAAGGACCTTGAACGCCACGTGAAGTTTGAGCTCCTAATTAAATCTGTCCCCCGACTTCACGAGGAGCAGCTGAATGATGGCAGCACACAATGGAAATGGTAAACTATAAACTGAAAGACAACATAAAGTATATCTGGCTGTGTTTCATTAAAATAATACTATCATGTAGTAAAACCTGTCGTGTGTAAACGAAGGTTATCAGGTAATTACAGTGAACAGTCGCTGCCTCTGCTCTGCACTGAACTTAAAAACATCAGTAGGAACACAACATTTACCAGCTGATGTAGCGAGCGTATATTTACTGGTTTTCATTCAAACATCTTTTGTGGGCGCTGCTGAGGGCTCAGCTGTGTGACCACCTGAGCAACAAACATCCGGTTGTCATGGTTGGGGTCATGATCAAGCACTTGGACAGTTTGAGGTGGGGAGGTTCTGAGAGGTGTGGAACACAGCGTTAGACCCCAGTCCGGCTCATTTAACCCTGATGCCTTCGCTATGACATCATCAGGGTTATGTTCTCCTACAGAGACACAGAAGATCTTCATGTGGATTCAGCCGGATCATTTTGTAATATGGCTGTTAATGTTAAACATGCAGCACCGGACCAAGGCTTGAACACATCTTCCCTTTCAGTGGGATCATGTAGTAAACAAGCGTTACACCAAAAGGATTTTAGAATTTAGATTCTTCAAAGAAGCCACCTATTCATAGTTTTCACGTGACATCACATTCCAAGGAAAACGCTCTCTTGGAGGGCAAAAAAGACATTTTCCGCAGCCTGCCAACCAATATGCATGTTTGTTACTTTTTGTGCTGCCAAAATGCTGGATGGTTGTTGTGCTTTCGGATTTACTAATCGAGGAGGAGACAAGCCTGGGCTGTGTTAGGTGAGGGATTCCCCAGAAAGTAAAAGTAAACATTACCGCAGTCCAGCGGCGGCAGGGACCTGGCGGTTTTTAACGGTAGAAATGCGGCAGCGGATGCTGTAATGTTATATGGATCGGATATGCCCACACTACAATCTTTTTCTTAAGTTGAAAGGTGATCCAAATAAAATTTGACTGCTTTTGTGGCATCTCTACGGGTGAGTTAGACGCCACGTGTTGGTCTGTTGTTTTGCCCTTCAGGTCACCGAGCATGTCACGTGACTGAAAACTATGAATTGCTCAGATGACACCTTTGCACAGTCTCACCCCCCCCCTCTTCCTAAAGGTTAGTTGGTTTACTTTAAACCTGAGTAAAACACAGGAACGAGCAGAGTGGAAATCTAAAGCTGGATTTATTTTGTATTACTGTAAGTTCAGACAATCAGAAAAACACAATCCTTTTCTTTCACCTGTCTTCTAATCTAGTAAGTGATAATACAAACACCTAATGCATAACTAAGTCCAGGAGGTGGATCCTGCACTGTGGTGGGTCAGAGCCGAGGCAGCATGCCGGTCCTGAACCCTCTTTTAGTGAGACCCCCCCCCCCCTCTGCAGCTTCAGTCTGGAGGGACTCAGCTTGAAGCTGCAGATGGTGAGCAGGTGGACCTCCTACTGCTGGGAGCTAATCTTAGTAAAAAACTACAGAGCTACAAAGTACATGTGCTTCTTCTGACAAAAATAAAACTCTACATTTTCTCTGCAGTTAGATGGACAGTTGCCTGTCCCTTCTCTGAGGTAGTACATAAGTAGAAATATCATTAAAGGCAAGTATGGAGAACGAGGCCTGACAGTGGAGTGCACCACCAGGACTCACGTGGTCCTGAAGTTGAACAGATCGGCTCTTCAACAGTGGTACAAACTGCCCAATGGTTACAGGTTAAACTATCTCTAATGATCTCTGCAGAAAGATATACGACAAGGTAGAGGTAGAAAGTTTGACTGAATTATAATGTCAATGTCTGCTGCTAGGTAAAGAGTTTAGATTCATAAAATCTACCTTTATACTTTCAATCTAATGGCACAGGAAGAGCCAAAGTAACTAAATACAAGTAAAAAGAGAAAGCACCGCACTGCGTGTCTGAGGGACAGATCCAACCGTCCTGTCTTAGAAACGTGGTAAGTGCTTAAAGTCCAGATCAGACACTCTTAGAGGCACAACAGTAGCATTTTAAGACATTGGTGCAACACGATGGTAAGAGACGTCCTTCAGTTCAAGGGCCTTAAGGCAGAAAAGAGAGAAGCTCTTCTTTCCACAGCTCATCTCCACCACAGCTGAGCGTCCACCACAGGAACGGTCCAGTACTGCTGTCCTGCTGCACGGGACAGGCGGCTTCCCTGAGTCCATGACCTCGGAGGTAAAGGAAGGACAACAAGAACAAGTGCTCACACATCGGGGGGGGGGGGTACAGGTGATCAACATATTAAAAAGCGCTTCTATGACATTCCACGTGAAGTTCCCCACAAGCTGAGACGTACCACCTGCTGCAGCAGACAGTCAGACGTCTGTTTAACGCTACACGCTGGGCTGACAGTCTGACACGTGGAACAGATCCAGGACTATCTATCCCAGATCTGGATCTCTGACAGCCACTCCCTCAGCAGGTCAGAGCCAGGTGGGTCTCAGGTGAACACCTGGATAACCTCTTCTATGCATTTAAAAAGGCACAGGGAGCGACGCTGAGATTGGTGACCTGGTTAACACGGCTCTGTCTGATCGGTACCTGCTGGGTCAAATGTTCTGGCCCACAAGGTGGGCAGCAGCTGTCCACCACCTGGGGTGTGGGATGATGTGACCCTCTACAGGTCAGCCATGTTGAAGATGAAACTAAGTGCATCTAGTTAACAGAAGTTAAGAGTCTGTCTGATCTCAGATCTGCATCTAAAGATCTTCAGGGCTGGAACTTTCCAAATACAGAACATGGTTCTGCAATTCAGGTCCAGTACCTGAGATCTACGGTCTGATCTGCTGAACTGATAATACACATGGTTTCAAGTATCCTGCAGACTAAGGCCCGGATCAGACAGAATGCATTTTCTGCAGTGAGAGGCACCTTTTTAAAATTATATTCTATTGGCAGTGAGCGTTCTGCACGCTGTTTATGTGCCCTGGGTGCTTCACATTTTTGGCGCCTGCTGTGCGTTTTCGAAGGAGCGCTCTGAGTGCACAGTGTTGAAAAAATTTCAACTCTGAGCAGAAAAGCATCTGACGTCATTTGTGTTTTTTTCCATTGACCAATCGAATGAACTAAGAGACAGGCCCTCAGTTGTGGTAACGAAGTTTACAGTTGCTTGGATTGTCCGGAGACTGCAACAAACTGTCCCCGAGTCATGCTAAAATAAGCCTTGGACCGACCATCATTAAGACGAAGTTACTGGACCAGCTGGTGGTAGCCTCCTACCAGCGGTGTCTCCCTTTTCTGACGGTCTCATGTAATCACACGGATCTCTGTTTCCCTGTCTCCTGCGTGTTTGTTCACCTCTCACCCTCAATCAATGTCAGAGCAGGCGCCCTCTGTTTGTCTATTTTATTAAAGTAGATGTTTTTAGCAACAAAAGACTCAGACCTGTGAGTTGTGATTAAGTTTCTGCTAATATGACAGTTATTACTTAGCAGCAAACCAAAGATTACAGATCGCTGGTGCTATAATCTTTGATTAGACTGACAGGACAGCTGGATCGGTGGTTGCCTAGCAACATGAAAATAACGCAGCACACTGTTCTTTTCCGAAGTCAACCAAAAAAGGCATTGCTGTGCGCCTCGCGTCTTCGAACCTGTAAAATGCTTTCTGTCTGATCGGGGGCCTAACAGTGTCCGACACCTACAACGGGCCTAATTCTGGTGAAACACTGGTGAACTGGGGGGGAGGGGGACCTGGACCATCTGTGGCGAGCTAAGTGCCTCCACCTGTAACAGGCCTCACCAAAGGAAGTATTTCTCTGTTTTGGTTGTAGACACTCTTTCTACATTCCCTCAAACGTGCAAGCTTCCTTGTTAAATAACGAGGTAATACTGATGAGGTGATTTGTTGTGTCCTAAGTTAGCATGGTTAGCTCTGACAGGCTAAAGCTACACGTCCGTGAGCTGGTGTAAAGGCATCGTCTGTGGGACACAGAGCTGCTTACTGCTGGAAGGCCTGGTAGTAGTGAGGTAGGGAGCTGGAAGTGCTCATAGCAGGACTGCTGTACGCCTGAGGTAGCTGGCTGTGGTTGTGGGCTCCGGGGCCCTGGGGCACATGAGCCTGGGGAGGCTGGAAGAAGGTAAAGGGCCCTGGAGCCTGGGAGGACAGCCCAGTGGAAGAGGAAGGAGAGGAGGAGGTCGTGGTGGCAGGTGGGTAGCTCATCACTAACCCCCCCATCCCCATGTGAGGGCTGTAGGGCGGCAGGCTGAAGGGCAAGAAGCCCAGGAGGGGCCCCAGGTCCATGTTAGTGGTGCAAGACAGTTCAGTGGAGGAGATGGCGGGGCTCCTGGACAGCAGGTGAGGGTCACCGCCAGCACCCACCCCTTCACCCAGCACTTCCCTCTGAGGGGAGGCAGAAGTCGAGGTAGCGGAGTTGACTGCACTCAGGTGAGGTGGGGGGGCGCTCTGCAGGTCCAGCAGGAAGCTGTCCACGTCAGCGCGAGGATATGAGGTAGATACGTGCTGGTACCTGGCCATGTTGCCGTAGGGCTGCTGCTGCGGGGCCGCCGGGGGCTGCAGGTGGTGGTGAGAAGACTGGGGGGGCATGGAGCGCCCAACGCCCATGCTCGAGGACACAGAGCCCTGCATGAGGCCGTGGGGGTGGCCCAACCCGGGTACAGGATTGGTCATGGGGTAGGAGTTGTACATGTCTCTGGAGTAGGTCTCCATGGGCTCCTTGGGGCCCATGTCAGAGGCCACAGGGCTGGGCTCCTCCTTCACCGGGCACTGGGTGGCGGGGCTCGGGGCAGCCACAGGAGTGCTGGGTGTACAGGGAGGCATCAACCCAGACTCCTGAGCATGGCTCTTCTTCAAGTGGCGGGTCAGGTGGTCCCTGCGGCCAAAGCGTTGTGCGCAGCGTGGGCACAGGAAGTCGCGGCGCCCTGTGTGCACCACGGCGTGGCGCCGTACATCCTTCCGAGTGTAAAAGCGGCGGTCGCATCGCTCACATGAGTACTTCCTCTCTCTCACTGGCACGCCGGCGTTGCTGTTGCCCTCTGAGGGAGGGGGCCTGTCGATGTGGCCACCCAGGTGCTCCAGCAGCGAGGGCGCCCCCTCTGGGCAGGACAGGCCCGCCGTGGCGCTGTGGGCGGCCACCAGGTGGCGTCTGTAGCCCAGCTGGGTGTTGTACTGCTTCCCACACTCCTGGCAGTGGTAGAGCTGCCTGCTGGCTGGCTGGCCCTCCTGCAGCTGGCCCTTCAGATGGTCTTGCTGGTGGAACATGGTCTAACACAAGGAACGGTGCTGGTTCTGCTGCTGCACGGGGACTCTGGCCAAGAGCCGGAGCAAACGCAGACCAGACTCATGAGGATCCTCCCGAGAGCCGTGCCTCAACCTGCAGACCGTCCTGTTAACGGACAGTGCTGGAGTCAAGTGCTGCTTGTTGATTGTGTCTTTCGGGGCGATGAGTAGCGGTCTCTCCTGCCTTCCTGGGGCCAGTCCGAGTCCAGCACTTGGTCTCTGTGGCAGCAGCTGCCATAGCAATCCCCACAGGGCTGTGGTGATGGTTTGCTCTGGGAGCTCCGACTGGGCCTGTGTTCCCTGAGAGGCGCTCGTGTGCTGGTCTGCAGAGGGATTAGTATACAGATGAGTCACAGAGGCAGATCCACATCGCCACAGACCTGCAACACAGAAACAAAAGTCACCCCTCTGGTTGGTTCTGATGATGAGCAGACGTCATGTAACTATACAAGTTGATCTTTCAGCCTTTTAAACCCCTCTGCTGTGTTTGAATGAAAAGCGCTGCTTGACTATGGCAAAAAGACTATGTCATAATCACTATTATCTAACTCCTTCCTCCTTATCGAACTCACTGACTTAGAAACATCATTTATTGAACTTTTGTTTTGAAGAATTATCATATATGGATGACCCCAAAATGCCAAATCGACCCTGAAATAAGAAACAGTACTCCAACATTATTCACTTCAAACAGCATCTGGAGCGCAACACGACAACAGCAGGTGTTTCCCAGGTGACAGGTGACGACAACTCGTTACGTTACTTAAATTGAAATTAAACCCTGGTGTTCTGTCTGGAGATACAGTGACTCAATATTTTACAATCATGGACAGGTAAAGTAACAGTGAACACTGGTGACTTAACGCTGAAAGGCTACACGCCCTCACTGCTGCGATCTGCAGGTCCCTTCTGTTTGTTTTCTGAAGCGAGATTCAGAGACGAAGAGACCGATTTGTGAACGCCAACAAGCACGGACTGAAGCAGAACTTTACCTTAGATAACACCATCTCTTTTTGCAATGCATCTTGCGAGCCGCTGGAGTCGGCTGAGTGGACGAATGTTGTTTTCAGTCACTTTTATTTATCAGCCTGCCTCTGAAGAACCAGCGGGAGTCGCTGCTCAGCAACAGACTCTCATTCAGCCAGCTACAGGACAGTTTAGACTTCTGCGGCAAAGGCTACCTGCTGCGTGAGCATTTATACAAGTGTGTTGGTGTCTGTGTCGCTCTGCACTTAAAACGCTAGCGAGCATAGTAACTAAATTTCCAAATGTTATCAGACTGAATGCATCAAATATTCTGATCATTTTGTGCTAAAAAGGGTTACTGCTGGTTTGGCCACTTGAATTCAAAGCACGGAGCATGTCCGGGGGGCTGGGAGGAAGTAATCACTACCAAGCCGACCAATCACAGTTCTGCATAGTCATGTTGTCTACTTACATTTTTGGGGAGATGCACATCAGGCTAGCATGACGCAGCGCGGCTACGTACATATGATGGCATAGCGACAGAGAGAAACGTGACTTCAGAATGTGTTGGCTGTATTTTTCAGTTTGAGAAGGAAAACAGGGGGACGAATATTTATGAGTTAGATCTAGGGCTAGACAATAAAACAATAACTATAATTATTGCGATATAATATTTTTTAATAACAATATAATAAATGTTAAATATTCAATAAATGTCTCATTTTATTCACTTGAATCGTACATGAATTAGGATTTTATTTTATTGAGATGTTTATTATGTCGAGACAAAAGGACGGAAAAAAGATTTTACTTAATTTTACTTGTGCATATTTGTTGACAAAGATTTTCTCATAATTGTTTTGAACATTCTGCCACAGATTTGTGAAGTGATCCACTGTTTGGCCTCAAGGGTTGACCAGAAAGAAGAGTTTTAACCACAATTAACTTTCACTCAGGAGCAAAAATCTGCCTTTAAACTGAACGATTTTGGAAAATAATCTAATTGCAATTTTTTTTACCAATATTGCAACCATAAAATTAATATGCGATTCATTTTTAAGCTCTTTACCTCCTTATTCAAAACGGACAAGCAGTAAATCAGTGTGTGTTTGAGAGTCATGTCATGGCATTAAATAATATTAGGGCTGACTCCCAATAGTCGAAGATTCGATGCTTCGATGGGTGGAACCTGATCGACTGACTGTCAATCTCACAGTCGAAGCTTCGCAGTGAAACAAGGATCGTGCCATTTTGGCGATATGGGGGTGTTCAACGTCTGATTTTACATAGAACTACCAGTTTTCTCCCAATAAGTTAATATACAGCCTATTACAATATACATTTCAATGTTTAATGCTGTAAATAAACATGTAAAAACAATAAAACTTCCAATAAATGTTTTTAAAGTGCATGAATAAATCCAAAATTGTAACCCTAACCCTGGGTCGTCAGTGCGCATGTGAAGGTGTAGCGTGTGTGTGGTGGCAGTGGAGGAACACTTGCTGGAGAGAGGGAGCGGAGGCCCACCCAGAGAGCAAGACTACATTGAATAAACATCAGAATGGTTGAGATTGAAATCTCAAACTTAAATAAATGTTGAGTCAGTATTGCAATACCGATGAAGAACTACCATATATGAACATGACATTGGAATAATATTGATTTATAGTTGTCCCGATTATACTTGATTAAGCATTGATTTGTAGTTGACTGGGTAACAACAACAATGTTGAAAAATCATCTATTTATAGTTGACCAGAAATTACGTGATACTGAAAAGCCATTGATTTTTAGTTGACGGGGAAATATTATTGAAAATTCATTGAATTATAATTGACAAGGAAACATGTTGAAAAGTCACTGAATTACAGGTGACCGGGAAATATGATTGAAAAGTTATCTATTTATAGTTGACCGGGAAATATGATTGAAAAGCGCCAATTCAGCCCGACCTACGTTGTTCATCTTCACATCATTTTCACTACTGAAAGATATTTTGTTTGTATGTTTTCTGTTATAGATGCCCTGTCTGAAACAATGGGAACAGAAGTCTTTGACTTTGCCCAGGCAGCACAAAAATGGCTTCCTATGCTCCAGACCGGATGGATGGACAGAGCAGAGCAGGAGTAGTGAATAATTTTTTTTATTCCATAAATAAACTTTTACTTTTTAACTGATTAAATTGTCTGTTGTCATTTATACATTTTTAATATATTTAGTCTATTTTCTGTGGTTTAATATTGGTTGATTGGGCTATCATTTCAATGTTGTTTCAATATTAAAAAATGGTGCAAAATGATGATGAATGATTCAATTAAATAAACGTTGAGAGCAGAATGCTGATTGAATCTAGTTTCAATAATGTTTGCTATCTGGGCAGCTTCACTGGTGTTGTGCCGAGTTGTCCGCACCTCGCGGGACTTTTGGATAATTCATCACCGTTGATTAACCACACAAAGAATATTTTATTGTTTGTAAATAGCCGGATACTTGAAATAAACCCACGAGGAACCGCGACGTGCATGCAGTTGTGGGCAGCACGGCATGCACACTAAACTCACACAAGACCAGTGAATGGCAGGCGAGAGAGAGAGAGAGAGGTCAACAATAAGGCAGTTTAGCTGGAAATTTACAGTGTAAGTTGAATGAATAGAGACTGAAGCTTTTCAAGATTTAAGCGGAGCCACCATGTGCAGTGTTTCCTCACGGCACTACTAAAATTTCCCACGATCATTAAACTAGCGCTACAAATGTTTTCACTCGTAGCGAGTGTTTGATTGTCCAAGCGGCAAAAAGTGTCAAGTGAACGCGAGCGGAGGAAAATATTCTGGCAGTAAATGTACGGTGTCTGTTACAGTGTGTCAGCTTCTCAAGACCAAGAAAAGTCTGTTGTTTCCCACCTGCTGGAAAAGTGAAGCCGGTTAGCACTAAGTTAGCTCTCCCCTTCAGACTGCGCAACTGAGTAGGAAAGCTTCTACAGCAGCTACAGAGCTGCTATGTAACTTAACATTAGCTCAATTTATAGAAAGTAACTGTTTATTACTGCCTACCTGTCCAATGTTGAGAACATCAGGTACAAACTTAGACTAAACTGACATAGCCTTATTTTTCAGTTTTCAGTCTGAAAAAGTGGTTGTTAGGAAAAGAAAGGACGGAGGTGACTGGAGGAGCTGAGGTTAGTAAAGCTAATTAGTGATGCAAAGTAGTCCTTTTAAGCTAATGAGGAGACGTTTGTTTGGATTTTAATGTGCAAATAAAAAGCACCTCAGAAGGGAGGTGGTTTCTCATGTTGGATATTTTTTATACACTGCTCAAAAAAATTAAGGGAACACTTAAACGACACAATGTAACTCCAAGTCAATCACATTCCTGTGAAATCGATTGACAATTTCACATGCCAATAAAGGAGTGGTTCTGCAGGTGGTGACCACAGACCACTTCTCAGTTCCTGTGCTTCCTGGCTGATGTTTTGGTCACTTTTGAATGCTGGCGGTGCTTTCACTCTAGTGGTAGCATGAGACGGAGTCTACAACCCAGACAAGTGGTTAAGGTAGTGCAGCTCATCCAGGATGGCACATCAATGCGAGCTGTGGCAAGAAGGTTTGCTGTGTCTGTCAGTGTAGTGTCCAGAGCACGGAGGCGCTACCAGGAGACGTGGTAGAGACCGTAGGAGGGCAACAACCTAGCAGCACGACCGCTACCTCCGCCTTTGTGCAAGGAGGAGCAGGAGGAGCACTGCCAGAGCCCTGCAAAATGACCTCCAGCAGGCCACAAATGTGCATGTGTCTGCTCAAACGGTCAGAAACAGACTCCATGAGGGTGGTACGAGGGCCCGACGTCCACAGGTGGGGGTTGTGCTTACAGCCCAACACCGTGCAGGACGTTTGGCATTTGCCAGAGAACACCAAGATTGGTAAATTTGCCACTGGCGCCCTGTGCTCTTCACAGATGAAAGCAGGTTCACACTGAGCACGTGTGACACACGTGACAGAGTCTGGAGACGCCGTGGAGAACGTTCTGCTGCCTGCAACATCCTCCAGCATGACCGGTTCGGCGGTGGGTCAGTGATGGTGTGGGGTGGCATTTCTTTGGGGGGCCGCACAGCCCTCCGTGTGCTCGCCAGAGCTAGCATGACTGCCATTAGGTACCGAGATGAGATCCTCAGACCCCTTGTGAGACCATATGCTGGTGAGGTTGGCCCTGGGTTCCTCCTAATGCAAGACAATGCTAGACCTCATGTGGCTGGAGTGTGTCAGCAGTTCCTGCAAGAGGAAGGCATTGATGCTATGGACCGGCCCGCCCGTTCCCCAGACCTGAATCCAATTGAGCACATCTGGGACATCATGTCTCGCTCCATCCACCAACGCCATGTTGCACCACAGACTGTCCAGGAGTTGGCGGATGCTTTAGTCCA